GAAGGTAGTTGGGGAGAAAGTCCGTATGAACCAGAGCCGACGGTGGTTCGCGATACTCGACTCTCTGCGCTCATATAGGCTTCGAATCTGTCATCTATGGCGTCAACTAGGGGTTGCCAACATGTGGAATTATCAAGGGCTTCACCAAAGCCAGGAGCATCAAGGACGGTTAATCTAAGTCGTACGCTATTTTCGCGAAGTTGAAATGTGAATGCATCAACCGGGCGAGATGAGTTAGGATTGGACGGTGCTTTAGAAGCTCTGTAGCGCTTAGATGGTCCCTACGAATGAGAATTTTGGCAAAGAATATTAAAGAAAGATATGATGTAGGCAGATAATGTTATATTTTCCCAAAACGTGAAGATCAAATATATAATATGAATGTAAACTAAGCTAAAGCAAAATTAAGATTATTTAATAAATAATAAGTCAGTTCATCAAAAATTACCAAGTTTTCTGCATTATAAATATCAGAGAGGAATAGGGCATTCATAAATGTTGATTTGCCGAGACCCGAAGCACCAACAATCATTATATTAAATTCAAAGCCTCGACGAACAGCCTTTCTGTGTAGTTGGTTAGGCAAATTTATAAATCCAATTTGAGTGGAGGAGCTAGGAGCAACTGTTTTTGCTAAACTATGAGCAGGTAGCTCAGCCAGGTTACCACCAATTTGAATATCTTCCTTTCTGTTCAACACAGGAGCAACTTCAAGGGCACGCCCTGCAGGTCCATTAAAAGATGAAGGGTCTCCAATCTGAGTCTTGAAGAAACCATCCCTCCTTGTAGTGTAAAGACGACTCATCAGGAGCAGAAGAGCGAATCAAATATACACCTTGCAAAATCGGCTTATTAAAATGACTATATATTAGAAACAATATATTTTCAAAATCGTAAACTATAACATATCATATTTACTAATTTGTATTTAATCTGTAAATATCTAGAGCAAATTTATGAATAATATTTGCTATTTAATTTTCTACCTCAGCCCAAAAGGAATACACATGAAACATATCAGGAAAATAGTAAATTAGGAGAGGATCACTTACCGAATAAAATACAGCATAAAAATAATCTAGTCACAATCAGCGTAAACGTTTAACAATTACGCTATTATTATTTTTTGTTTTATAAGTCGGAATGTGCAATGCTAAAATCTTTTACCTAATTCTCTGTAAACCTGCTCTTTTACCA